TGCGAAAAAAGAAAACAAATAAAACCTCATAATGAAATAACATTTTTTGAAACAATTTAAAGTTTGGTGTATTTAAAGATCATTGTATAGAGTCTTGTTGTTAATTACAAGATAAATCGGTTGCTAATGCTTCATCAATTATTAGAGATTTCATCAAGGGTTTAATCTATATATTATAGATTTTATTAATTCATTATAAATTTCGTCAATTCATTATAGATTTTATTAATCATCAAGGGTTTTGTCAATTATCAAGGTTTTATTATAACAAAACTATGATTATTATTATTATTTTTTATAGACCGGATAGCTTATCCTAAGTTTTTATTAATATTTAATATATATTACAATTATTATATAATAAAGTACATGTGATATACTATATATGAAACTAGGCTCATAGAGCTAATTTATCTTACTATCAATTGTCTACTCTAATTAATCAGTACCTCCATCAGTACCACTATAATTCAAGATTTTAAGCACACTTTTCAACCTATATTTAATTTGTATATCTACCACTTTTCTTATACAGGGACTATTAAATTATTCCATTTGAGGTATTCATATAATCTTTGCTCAATATACTTCCTAGTTTGGTTATTATTTGATATTTCTAGTTTTTCTGTATACAGCTTTCTTTTTATTTATAGGGCTACTATGTGCTGGTTAAAATTAGACTATATTGTATAACTGTAGTTACTTCCAATTTTGGTTTCATATTTTTATTTTCAGCTTTTGTCTAAATTGGTTAGTTTTCTGAAATTGGTAAGCCCCTACTTTTCCACATTTCTCTTTGTTTTGAATTACTACTACTAGCCTGGTACTTCATGCCTTTTCAAGTTTTTATCATGCTCCAAGATTAGTTAGTATCAACACTCTATACAGATTTCCTATTTCATATATACCAGAAGTGTTTAATTTCCAGTTATAGTTTATCCTTTATTCACAGCCCCTTACCATATTCACCACTTCTCTCATTATTATTAATACTATCTACTCTATAGTTTAGGCCTCCTTTTCGGGAACTCCTTAATCTGGTTCTCTACTTCACTTGGTCTTTCTTATGGAACTTTGCATCCAATTGCTAGCTTCAATAGTTATAAAGAAAAAACCTTCAGCCATAATTGAACCATTGACTTGCTGTGTGGGTTTAGGCATCTAGACTACTACTAGACTATAGGCCTTAAACACTCACAAAACCATAATTATATTATTCATTATCGCAAAAATTATTTGTCAGACATCATTAGTTGATATCTGTAAGGCATATATTTTCTGATTTCAGATTAGTTTCTATACTCACAACATATATTTTGACAAATTGCACTATTTTTTAAAAATAGTTATTAACAGATACAGGACATGTCCATCTACAGAGGTTTAAAATATTGTCACATATAAATTAATAAATCAAATAAGTTGTATATGTAAAATTTGACAAAAAAAACACTTTTCTTAATTTACTTAAGAAAGTAAATATAAAAAATAATTTTAGATATAGAACTTATATTTTTAGTATTTGTTAATCCTTTAACAAAAGTTATAGAACTAAACATCAAGTAGTTTTAAAAGGATTTTGCTCTAAAGTTGGTGTATTTTTTGCCTTTACAACCCTATAAAATTAAAGTAATAATATAATTGGCTAAAGCAATTCTTTGAAAATTAAAGAAGGTTCTACTAAGTAAAGATCTCTTTGGGTTTTAAAAAAACTTGTAAAGAAGATTTTTAGAATCTTAACAGTAGTTAAATAATCCAAATTAGCTTGATGAATCTCAAGATACTTGGGATTAAAGGCACAAATATAAAGATCTGCAAAGTTACTGTTATACAAAAAACAATTGTCTAATAAATGATTGTCTTTTGTATAACAGTAACTTTGCAGATCCCTATGTTTATGCCTTTAACCCCAAGTATCTTGAGATCCACCAAGCTGATTTGGATGATTTAACTACTGTTGAGATTCTAAAAACCTTCTCTACAAGTTTTCTTAGAACCCAAAGAGATCTTTACTTAGTAGAACCTTCTTTAATTTTCAAAGAATTGCTTTTAGCAAATCATATTATTGTATTAAGTAAGTCAGTCATTTGACTTAAAGAACATAGAGAAGAATTAAACAACTTTAGCTTAAGATCCTTTTAAAACTACTTGGTATTTAGTTTTATAATTTTTGTTAAAGAATTATTAAATGCTAAAGAATAAAAGTCCCATATTTAAAATTATTTTTTATATTTGCTTTCTTGAGTAAATTAAAGAAATGTGTTTTTTTTACCAAATTTTATATATACAACTCATTTGATTTATATTAAACAACAACCAAGGAGAAATGTCTCATGTCTGTTAAGATAAATTTAACAGATATGCAGTATTACAGTAATACATAGATGGAAATGGAAATTAATAATAGATGATCAATGCTTGAAATGAAGGTTAAGTGCAAAAAAAATGTGGCAGTGCTAAGATTTGCTAATTGATGAATGATCTACAGGCTAACAAGTTGAATTAAAAAGGTGTAGTTTTGAATAATGGTAGCTTGTTATTTTTGTAGTTCGTACTGCGTTTCCTATAATAATTTATTTAGATTTGCACAAAAATCATGGGATTTTTTGCATACATATATGTTACTTCTACTTTTTTACAGTTAACACAACTCTATAACAACTTGATAATATAATTACAATCTATTGATATTTGGGAACTTAAGTAAAATGGTACTTTGCTTTTGTTATTAAGCAAGGCATTAGCAAATCAAACAAAATTTATAATATATCATATAATTAATTATCAGGTATTCAGTTTTCCAAAATTTATTTCGCTATTTGTCTTTGATGATCAGTGATTATCATTTAATCAACCCAATAAAAAATCCTATGAAAAAAAAATGAAAAATGCCAAATATCAAGTAAATAGACAAATTAATTTGCATCGGGTTACCAATTTTTGCGTCTAAAATTCTTGCTTTTAATATCATTAGCTATTGCAACTATGATATTGCTTATGTTTGTAGTTCTTATCGTTATATTTAATTACGTATTTGTACGCATGTGTACTTTTGCCAATCTATACCATAAGGATAATTATATAAGGCGTGATGAATTTCGCATGTGAATAATAATGGCGTGATGAACTCATGCGTGAAAAATAAACAAAATAATCATGCGGACCAATCAAACTTAAGATTTTGCGGATGGATATCGCTTCAAACACCGTATAAACCATACACTACATGATTGTATCATTCCGCTCCTGGTATATTATCGTTCTTATGCGGATTGCTAATTAAATATTATTATTATTAGCCAGGGCATTAAAAATCTGCATCGGCTACAATTTTAGCCGGCTGGCTAAGCCGCTTGGTCGGCTAATAGCCGGCTATAACCGGCTATAGCCGTAGCCGTTCCCATCCCTACTTTTAGCAAACGTCTCGCCAAGCGTATTAGGTGCATCACGCTATCAAGTTTACTAACGTTAAGGGACGTTGGTTACGGAGTGGTATAATGATAACATGAATAATGCATGAAGTTAAAAAAGTTTGAATGACATAATATAAATGTGAGTTAATCGGAATTTTTATCGAACCATTTGGTTAAACCATGTTCATTAACTTATGCATCAGATTTCTAATTTAAATTGCATTAAGAAATGTTTTTGGGCAGGTACTTCATTTATTTTAAAAATTTTACTCGATTATCTTGATCTTGGTTCTACAAAGATACAGTTCACGGAAAATCTTTTTAACTATATGCACGTATGCATGTATTATCTATTATAGTGTCTAGGGTTCTGCAATAATCGTCGATATGCAGATTCTTTGGTGACATTACAGCATTATAAATAATACTTTTAAGAACAAAATTAAAAACCAACGAAGAAAAAAAATTTAAATTTACTACAATAGCCTTACATCTGCAGTAGTTTATTGCAAGCCAAAACAGAATTTTATTTGGATTTTTTGCCTACCAATCATTTATTAGAAAAATTCGCGGAATCTCAAACAAGTTCTTTACATGGCGTCAAATCAGAACTCTGCACGGGTTCTGAAACTGCAGGTTTCTAGGCACTCCAGTACTTATATATAATTTCCATTGTACAAAAAATAAGCTGAATAAATACATAAGTATGCACATGCGTAAATATTTATCTCATGATCTAAAAATACCTTTTCGACTAATGATCATATGTTAATTCCTTGCACGTATTATCTTTACGATCGTGTATTTTATACAATTACAACATTAGATATGTGTGACAATATTTTTTAAAATTATTAAATTGTTTCAAATACGCAAGATCTCTTGCATGCTTATACGTGTAGCAAATCATTCCTGTACTTAGTATTATTAGATACTGCGCGTAAACGTAAAAGAACAATGTATGGCTTATGTCATATGCGCGTACCTAATCCAACTTTCATAAGTAGCGAATACATGTGTAAGAGTACAAACAGACCCTAAAAAAACATATCAGTTTTTACGCGATGCGAATTCATGTTCTTTAAAGAAGTGATGATAAATCGACTAGTTATCCATTAGCATATTCATTAAAATTTATTTATGTACACATCTTATTTTGATGTAATGAAATAAACAACTTACAGTGAATAATAAATTAGTGATCTATCGGCACATCCGAATGGTGTTTTCAGCGTGAATATTTATTTAAAAGTCTTAAAATCTAATGATTAGTAATATTTTAGCCAAAAAAGGTTCCATTGAGAAGATAATAAATTATAGAACTTAGCGTTAATTTAATAAAAACCAATTCCATTTAACCAAAATTTTCAAGCAGTTTAGCATATCAGTATAAGATGATATGTATCATCTTGATTAGTGATTTGATCGCTATTCAACAGATTAGCATATAATTTTACCAATATAGCAGATAAGAGCTTGTGTACGTACATACGTACATATAAATATACCAGATACGTAGTTTTTAGCAAAAAAAAATTGGCTGTAATCAAAACAAAAAAACTTTGAAAAGAACCATCCATTGGAAATATGTCGCTTCTATTTATTTTAAGTTCTTATTTTGAAAATTGGGCTTCTATTATACCTGTATTGTTGATAATTTACGTAGCAAATTTCTACTACAACTACTTTACGCGTCCAAATCCATTACCAGGACCCATACCAATTCCTATACTCGGAACTGTTCACATAATTGGAATAAATCCTTACTTATGGTACATTAACAATATTGAAAAAGCTGGTACAATTTGGGAATTCTATATTGGTCATCAACGTCAATTAGTGGTAAACCACGCAAAACATCTTGAAAAGATTTATAAACCAACACCAAAATTTTTTGAACGAATGGAACTTCCTTCACTTGAAAAATTTGGAGTTTTAAAAGGATTAATATTTAATAATAATTATAGTGCATGGCATAGAAATAGGAAATTTGTAGCTCCTGTATTAGCGTCACCAAAATTTTTAAGAGGATTCGTTATTAGTATACAAAAATTATTTAAAGAGTCTGAGAATAGATGGAAACCAGTTATAAAAAATGGAATAGAGTTTGATTTTAGTGTATGGATAAAATGTTTTACAACAGATATTACAATTCATCACGTTACAAAACAACCATCTTATAGTTTAGCATCATTTGATACAAATAATGAAATTGTTCAATCAGAGCAAGTTAGAAAATCATTAAATTTTACTAATGCAGTAATAGGTTTTATTACCACAGCAACTTATTTGCTTTTTATCCCTTCATTCGTAAATAAGTATATACCAGGTTTTAGATCATTCAAAGAGAAATGTGATCGTAGTGTTAAATATATGAATGATACTATAATTGATATTATCGAAAAAAGAAAAAAAGAACTTGAAGAAGGTGCAGAGATAGAACCCGATTTGTTAGATCACCTATTAATAGCTCATACACCAAGGGATCCTGACTACAAAGAATATGATCAAATAGTTCCTATGAAGGCTTATGAAATTAAAGCTATTTTGTGGGACATTCTTATGGCTGGCGTTGATACGGTATATTTTCATCATTTTCTTTTATGTGCATATGAAATAAAATAAAATATACTAACAATTTACTATATATTTATATTTATATTTAACAGACCGGCAATACATTCAGTTTCCTAGTATATAATGTTGCGAAAAATCCAAAAATTCTTGCTAAAATTCATAAAGAAATCGAACAAGTTTTTGGATTAGATCCAAATAATGAATTTACTCTTGAAAAACTTGAAAATTGTCGTTACATTGAAGCATTGGTTAAAGAATCATTACGCCATATTACAATAGCACCTCTCACCTTGAAAGTTTTAGAAGGAGAAGAAAATGTAGCTGGATATAATTGGCCAAATGGAACCAGATTTTGGATAGACCATCAAACTATTTTGAATAATCCTGATTATTGGAATGACCCAGAAATTTTTAATCCTGATAGATTTTTAAGTAAGGAATATGGTGGTACTTTTGAATTTTCGAACATGCAAAAGAATGCTTATAGTCCATTTGGTGGTGGTATCAGAATTTGCCCTGGGAAATTTATGGCAATAAATGAAATTAAAGCTTTAACAGTTCTGTTTTATAGAAAGTATAACGTAGAATTAGTTAAAAATAATGAAAAGATAAAATATCAATTTTATGGGGTAAATCAGGTTTATGATCTACAGGTTAGAATCAGCTTAAAAGACATTTCTTCATTTCCCTAAGATGGGATGTTTGAAAGATAAATAGAATCGGGGGCATTGTGACGAATCTAATTATATAGATTTGAATTTATTTTTTTTTATTCATTGAGTGTATAAAAATTTCATATATGTAATATTTTCACCTATTTTTCACCTATTTTATGGAAATAAAATAATTTTGCTCTATACCTGTATACGTGTCATTACAGATTGAAAGATATCAATATCATCTATCGGTTTATTGATTTATAATAGTTTTTAAAAATTTATCGTTTTGTAAGCATATTTGGATTTACTATTAAAAATATGAATACAGTAATTAACAATTATCCACTGTCGTTTCGGATGATTTTAACATCAAACTGACCGGCTCGAAATCCGCGATTCTAATGTCGCTAAAATTGATCACAGGACCATGGGATCGTTAAATACTTGTTCTACTTCAGAAGTGACACAAATCTTTAATGGCTTGGTACTGTATTAGAAATCATAGACTATCAAAACAGTCGTTTTATAATAATAATAAAAAAGAAAAAATTGATTGAACAAGATTTATTCTCACAAATTTATGTGCTGTGCATCTTAATTGCAACTTCAAATATACATGGGTATGAAATTTGTCGACAAATTTTTGTTATATATCTGTAATTAACCACATTATACTAAATTAGTCTATATCGATATATACGGCATATTTTTAAATTAACTATTCATGCATAAAATTATTAAACCACGTTTATAAAACCTTATAAAAAGTACGTAATTATTTAACCTCTTATTCATTGGTCTATTCTAGTAGTTCAATGGGCCAGGGTTCATTGATACCAATGGTACAATTTAGAGGTACAGGTATCTGTGTTATAACTAGACATAACAACTTTTTACTTTAAATTACGGCTTGCTATAACTTGCGATAAAATTATTCAAGTTATACCTTTTTTTATTTGTCATAACTCAATTTGTATACTGTAACTTGCCGTGCACTTGTTATATTATAAATAACGTTTGTTTATTTTTATATGCAACTTATCAAAGGATAAATTTTTATTTATTAAAAACATATAATGGCAAATGACAAATACAGTGTCGATATATACCGGTTGGATGAAAAGTTCCTGTACACGGACCTTTTTGTTAGCCACTAAATGATGCATTTTTAATAGTTCTTTCATTATATTAATTAAAATTTTGAACCACTAGATTTGCTGTATTGTAATTATTTCCTGAATCTACCCATTGGTTTATTACCATATTCTGATTACCGTATTCCTCCGAAAATAAGCACCCTGGCCTGCATTATAAAAAATTTGGCCTGAATTATAACTATCTTGGCCAACATTAAGTGCAAAAAAGGGGTGCTTATTTTCGGAGGAATACGGTATCAATAATTTATAAAGTTCTTCGATTAACAAATTAGCTTCATTCATATCTTCCGATTCCATATTGGTATTGCATGATCCAGACATTCCAAACCGGATCTCATTTAAGTCCACCACGGCGTCTTTTTTTAGACTGACTGGATAAAAAATTTTCTCCTTCGGACAAGTTATTTTGATTATTGTCAATTTCTTGAGATGTAGCAATTTTAATTGTGAAATGGACGATTGACATGTAAAAAATTGATCGATGTTATAATTTAATACTGATAATGGCAAATACGAACTATTATTATTTAGAACTTCGTTATTTATTTCACTGTAAAAAAAAAAAAAACTTTCGTTAATAGACTAAACTTAAAAAAAAATGATTTATACATAATTTTTGTTACATCATAGCAATAGTGATATTACAGGGTCCTGATTTTTCCACGCCCCTATGTAAATCACTTTTTTTTAACTTCGATCGGAAGTAACTCGCTAACCACCTGACCCAATTCAATGAATTTTTTATTTGAATTCTCCCGAACCGTAGAATTCAAATAAAAAAATTTTCATCGATGGGTGTCGAGGTATCTTGATCAAAGTAAAGAAAATCTTGCCGCATCTAATATTTTGATAGATGTTTAAAAATTTTTCTTGAATTTGATTAAATTTGATGGATTTATTATTATTATTATTATTATTATTTGTATTCCACTGTTCCAATTTAAATAAAAAAATATTATCCTTCAAAGTCAAAAAATCTTGCCATTTGATTGACAAATTTTTTTTAAAACTTTGATCGGAGATATCTCGACAATCACCTGACCAAATTTGATAATTTTTTTATTTGAATTCTCTGGAACAGTAGAATCAAATTTAAGAAAAATTTTAAACGTCTATCATAATGGCTGCGGCAAAATTTTCTTGACTTTGATCGAAGGTATTTTGACACCTATACAATGAATTATAAGGTTCTGGAGAATTCAAATAAAAAAATTTATTGAATTTGGTCAGGTGGTTAGCGATCAAAGAATAAAAAAACATCTAGGATTAGTGTTAGGGTTTATTTGTTTTTTCTCTATTTGCTCCATTTATTTATTTTATTTTAAATGAAGTATCTGTTACACCTTTAAAAAACCTTGATTATTAATTAATTAATTATTTTACTCTTTTTTACATGTAAACATCATTTCATTTTATATGTTAACTTATTGCTAAAAACGTAAAACGAATACAAATGACATTTATGCAAGTACACAAATAAATAATTTCCGTGTCTTTGTGCGATTCAATCTCTATTTATGACCCTATCCCAAAATGACGGGTTCTTTGTACTGTACATATCATTTAGATTTTGTCCATCTACGTAAGATACTTAGGTGGAAATCAACTAAATTACCTTTTCTATGTTAGCAGTATGTTTATAATGAAATTAAAACAATCAATTATTAAAGGCAAATTTAATTCAGTGGTTTAATAAAAATGATGAGAAAGAAGAGCGGCAAACTTTTTTTCTAAGATAACACTTTTCGAAATAGTAATAAATATTATTCACTTTATTTTTATTTCAATGTTTTTTATAAATTTTACTGCCTTTCATATCCATTATCAGTTTTACCCTTTTCTTCAATTTCGATAATTTCACCGGGTTCACATTTCATCTTTTCAAAATTATTTATTAGCAAAGTCAAACCTAGTTTCGACATTTCCAACACAAAACTTCTAGGTTTCACCTAATCACTGTAGAATGTAGTACTATGACCTTTTCTTTAAATACTATGGTGGTGACTATTAAGGGCAGATTAGATGCCAATTTTCAAAAAAAAAAAAAAAAAACAGGCATTTTAACTTATTTTTTTTGTCTTTAATTAATATGTAGATATTATAAACTCTCCAATATTTAATTTAGATACAAAGTTAAACGGCATTCTTAGAAAATGACTGTTATATTATTAGCATATTGATAATCCTCAATCATTTTTAAATTCAAAATCTATATTTTTATAAGTTAAATAAAAGATTTCAAAGAATACTTGAGACATAGATTCAAAAAAAAGATAAAATTAATTTAAAAATTGCTTCCAAGAAATAAGCCGCAATATCACAAATAATAAGAATTATAAACTAAATTTATAGATTATGTGAGTAAAAAATATTTATTTCTGTAATAAATAGGATTAAATATTGTAAAAATTTGATCCAATAGTTGTACATTTCTAAGTATATGCAAAATAAATAACATTATTTAAATATAAATTTGAAAATTTACTCGAGATTTCTACTATTATGGGGTTAATTAGACGATGGATAATCTATAATATAAAATATAAAGTTTAGGATATAAGGCAACTCGCCAGAGGAGTGACGTTGGTAATTTAGTAATAATTTACTTATACGATTGATTGCAAAGGTTTATCAAGAGAATTTATTAAAGATATTATAAATTAAATATTGGAATCACGTAGGATGTCTTTTAACTACAGCAAAATCTCAGTGTTTTTATAGCTTCTACTATCTTAATGAATTCAAGGGGCTTAGAGAAAAATAAATTATTACATCTTTAACGAATTAAGGAATACTCATACTACAGTAGGGGCTTACAATAATAATTACAACATAATTATAGTAATAAGAAAAGGCTTTGCTTCGCATCTTGCATTATTTCATATTGCAACTTAATGATATCTTCATTTTCCTGTCTTTTCTCTTTCTTCTTACGCATACTTGTTCTTCGGATCTCGCGTTTAATTATTTTCCTATTCGGCCGATAAGCCTCAGCCGATAAACCAGTTATTGAATGGCAATTACTTCTTCAATCACGAGTTTACTGCGTCTAATTTTGTAGATCCACCTTTACATTACTCATCGATTTACTAATATATTCTGAAATTTTTTCGTATCATATAATTTGCTAGTGTACACGTCTCGTGAATATATTTGCCTAGTCGGTTTTGGTGTTTAACCTTATTAGCTTCCAAAAATTGTTTCTTGATTTCATTATCATCTTGATCCATTTCATTCAGCCAACGAGTGATTATTTCAATAATTTCTATTGCAGTGGGTCGTTTATCAAAATCTTTATCCATACATTTCATAACTAATTTAATATAACAATCGGGCCCCAAACATTTAGATATTGATCCTTCGATAATTCTTGTCGCAAGATGATCATCAAATGGAATTCCATCAAATGCTCTTTGTCCGGTCGAAATCTCTGTCGCGATAACTCCAAAACTGTAAATATCTGATGCTTGAGTATATGGTTGACCCACCAAAACCTCTGGTGCTATATATGGCAGAATTCCATAAATTCTCCCTTCATTCACTTTTTTAGAAAGTCCAAGATCAGTAATATATGCATGATACAGATGATCCCCGTGCAAAATGTTTCCGCTGTGTAAATCTCTGTGAACGAGTTCCTGCGAATGAATCGACTTGAGATCCAAAGCTATACCGTATAAAATATTCAATTTATCTTTCCATTCCAGTTGTGATACTTCCACAAGATTTTGTCGTAAAGAACCTTTTGGTGCAATCTGCAAAACAATAATATAATCACCATAATAATTTCTTGATACTCCAACGCATTCCAAGAACGAAGGATTATCGTAACCAATTTCACAGAAATTCTTCAATTCCTGAATAAATTCTTGTTCATTTTTGTTTGAATCATGAACCACTTTAAGTGCAACATCTCCCAATGCATTATTAATTTTATCGAACCAAGTTGCCGCATATACAGTTGCGAATCCTCCTTTTCCCAATTTTTCAATATCTCTGAACTCATTATAATCGATCCAAGATAATTTAAACCTCTCATCGTCTAATATTCTCTTAAGTTGAAGATTGATATGATCGGGTGATTTATTAGTTATCAAAAGACTTTTATATTTTGTGAACCAATAATTTGCCTTTTGAATATCTCTCTTTGTACCGGTACCATTACGATAACATCGAGCAACATTATTCATTGCTACCTTATAGCCCATATTTGCAGATTTTTCAAAGTATTCAAATGCTTTATTATGATCTTGATCAACTCCCCTCCCATTATAATAATGAAAACCAACATTACCTATTCCAATAAAATTACCCAAATCAGCCGATCTCTTATCATATTCAAATGCTTTCCGATAATTTATTTCTACTCCAATTCCATAATCATAACAATTACTAACATTAATCATCGCATCCGAATTTCCTAACTCTGCTGCTTTCATATAATATTCAAAAGCCTTCTTTTCGTCTTTCTCAACACCAATGCCTTGCTCATAATTGTAACCAAGATCATAAAGTTGCTCAGCGTCCATTTTTTTTTAAAGAGGAAAAAAATTCATGTGCTAATAAGATACAAACTTTAATTTCCTGAAGCGTGGCAGTAACGGAGGGCATTTAGTGTTTGGCCATAGTAATACAAAATTTACGACAATGGCTACATTTTTGTTTAGCTCATTAATTGACTTTGTTTATCAAAAATGTAATATTGAAAAATTTTCATACTTTCCGCATGCATATCTGTATTTTTGATGTAACAAAAAAAAAACTAAAATTATACTAATGAAGTTACAACACATTCGCTAAGGGTGTTCTCAAACATCAATCGAGATGCGGTTTCATAGTGATCTAAATAGTGCACAAGTATTATGACGTAATTTAAGCTATTGCCATAACATTTTGGGTAAAATTCAATAATACGAATGAGGAAATTATTGCCATTACTATGATTTGGAATGATGCTCAATTGCAACGATGGGTCTAAACAATGATCTTAATCACAAATTGAGAGGATTTTAAAAAAATATATGGGGTCTTTGCCTTGAAAATGACCTTACGGTATCATGTACCGTAAAGTCATTTTCAAGGCAAAGACCCCATATGTCGATAATAAAAATCCATAATAAAGGTATGAAAACACTTGAACAATATTTAATTCATTTTAATATTTATTAAGTTTTGATAAAAAAAAGGTGGTTAGGGACAAAAAGTTTTTTGATTGAAATGGCAAACTCATTTATCATTTTTTACTATTTAAAAATTTTTTTCACGTAATAAACTTACCTTACACATATTAATGACAAGCTCGATTGATTGATTAAAATTACTTACAGTTAATTAAAATTTAATTCCCGACACATTTTTAAAATATTTTAATCCATTAATTGAGGCGCTTGAGAACGCTCTAAGTAAGCTGATAATTTCGTTATATACTTGGTTGGTCAGTATTGCTTAATGCCGATCCAGCTTCGATGTACTGTATTTAGCCGGAATTTTAAGGAGACATGAAAATTTATATTATATATACAAGGTATTCTCAAGCACCTACCTCAATGGACTCAATAGCAAATATAATTGGTCAGTTTAATCAAACTAGCCAATCAGATTTTTTATTGAATTCATTGAGTGCGCACGGAAATCTAGCCTGAAAAAAATCCCTTTTTTTATTATTAATCCTGTATAACCATTATAAATTATTATTTTAAAAAATTTGTTTCTTTGCAATTTGTTCGTTAAATCGGTGGATCCAGTCTAAGAGTGCCTTTATATTTATTGAAATTTATCAGGAGCTTGAATTATTAGTAGGACACATGATGGATTTTGTGATGATCGTTGGCAAATTTGTATACATTATTGGGCAAAAATTTGTGAATAACGGCAATTTGGCTCAACCGGACAAATGATTGGCTGACAAGTGCCGCTTCGCGGCACTTGTCAGCCAATCATTTGTCCGGTTGAGCCAAATTGCCGTTATAATGTATACTTACGGTACATGATACCGTAAGGTCATTTTCAAGGCAAAGACCCCATATAAGTTTGTCGGATAAAGAAATTTATTTCAGCTGGTATAGAGTATTGTGAATTTGATTTATTCTTGCTTTACGAATGAATAATTGGCCGGGCCAATCTGCTACTATTGGTGCAACTCTGTTAGATAAGTATCGAATATTATTAATATTCAAGATCATTTAAAGTGCCATTATATAATCATCCATTAATAGAATGTAGAATTCTTTCTTGAATACTTTACTCCTTTTATTGACCGTTCTTACAACTATTTTCACATCGCAAACATCCCTTGGTTATTGAGGTGAGATCTAATTGGTCCCTATATTTGATTTTTTTTTGTTCTGCAATTATGTCATCATAATTATAAACAGTTAACATTGACCATCAGGACAAATGCTGAGACTTAATCTGCTCGTTTTATTTGAAAAATCATCGGCGCTATAATTGGTGAATATTGAGTAGTCTTTTTGTGAGACTGAAGAAGATCATGAACGCAATAACGAGAGTTTGCGGAAATAATACAGATTAATAGGAATGGAATTAGGTAAAGGAGATGACTGAATCACAAAATTAGCTGTCACCCCTGTGGTAAAGACAATCTAATTGAATATTGATAACATTTTGTTTATATAACGAATTGATTCCATGATGATCAACTGTTCTAAATTGATACTAAATAAAGAATACCTTAAATTTGTCTTCAGTTTGATATTAAAAGCGCATAATAATGTAACATACCATTATAGGTTTAATGCACTAGTAGGTGTTTAAACATTTACACAATAGTATCAAGTCTATTAAGAATATACCAAAGTTAGCAAAAATCGAGTTCTCTTGTCATTTACTTACAGTTGACTCATGATAATTTGAATTTTGATAATCTAAATTTCCACAGTAAAAATCTATATATGTATGTATAATACTAATGCTAAGGTTTATATCTGAATTTTGATTATCCGATCAAATATCATCATGTGCACAACTAGCTGCAAGCCAATAGTTTTCTACTTTATACCACATCTGCTTCAGATTCTAATTATGATTCTAAAATATAAAGTTGAACAAACTAATATTCATACACTTCTGTCATATTCTCTATTATTTACTGGAAGTTTTGTTAGTAGTCGAAATGATCCATCTGCTTCTTTGCATGATCTTTCTGATTTTGTTGCTTTTGGCCAAATTTTTCAGTTAGTAATGGAAAATAAAAAAAAAACAGGCTAAATACTCACTTATTGCTCTAAAAAAAAGAAAGAGTTGATTAGTGCCTCTCATTGTTGAAGTTGGTAATAAGTTTCTTCAACAATAGTATTAACACAGATCTCATGAAATGGTGAAAAAATTCAGTCGCAATAATTGTCCTGTTTTCTATTCACACTAGTTAACATACTCTTCCCGAAAAACATAGTAGCAAGCATATATGGTTAACTTTGTAATCAATAATCCAATTCTCTTTCTCCAATAATACTGATATTATTTTCTTCAATGTTTAACAAATCTTATAAAATATGTGTAGTAAGCTGTCGAAAGAGATAAACCAATTTACTTTTAGCTTTTGGGTACATATTACCAGTTTTCTACCAATAATTGTGATGTTTTTTCTACTTGGTCTCCTTGATATTAAAAGTGGAAGAGAGGCAGTGGGCCATAATTGTTCTTTGAATAAAATCTGTATTCCCATTATTCCACAAATAACTGCCATATTTATCTTTATGTTCAATGTAGAAAATGAAGATTGTACCAATATATATAAGAGTCATCCAGTTGGCTTGTATATCAAAATTTCATCTTGAATAGCAACAGCTACAATGATCAAACATTATCATAGTCAATTAGAACAATCAAATATGCTTAAAACTTACATTACTAATTAACTATTATTTGTTTTTCTATATCTATGATAATTTATCACTATTTTGAAATAGTTAAAATGGCAATATTTACAAAAAAAACCTTTTTTGTGAACACTCTAATACTTGATTAATTAGAACATTGGTAGATTGGGATCGATTATCGATTAATGTTCTAAACTAACTAATCAAGTATTTGGGTATTTGCAAAAAAAAAAAGCTATACACTATCAGCTACTTTTAAAGCAATCAGTTTTTTTCTGTGAGGACAACTATGTGATCTTGAAAAATTGGTATATGATTATTATATTTTTAAAAACATCTATTAGTTCATTATTAAATTTGATTGGTTGGCTCAAAGCCACCTTTTACTGTATGAAATTGAAAATCTCAACTAATTTTCAGATTTGAGTCCCAATACCCTAGCTAGTGCTTAATCTGTTAAAAAATCCAGTGGATAGATATATTCTACATTGGCTTGAATTTGCGCTGGGGAAGTAAATGAAGAAATCTAACATTATCTTTTGTTCCTCATTGAGAAGAGGTGTCACAAGATGAAAACAACAAGAAAACAAACGAAAAACAAAAGAAAAACAAAAGAAAGAAAAATAAAAAACAACTCTGGATTATCTGTCCCATTTGCTCACATGCTATATGTACTATACTACTAAAAGTGCAGAACTTGAAAGCATCGAAAGTAACTGTTCTAAAACTAATGGCTCCTAAACTATTGCTTGTCGTAAGGGGCAGAGCGAAAAAAACCAGACAAATTCTTCTGGAAAAACCCCTAAGTCCCTCTACCACTACCCTAATACTCACAATGCATGTTATGAAAACCTGTACGCAACCTTCTATTGTGACTATCGTCTCGACAGGCCACTTTTGCAAAAATTACTTTGTGCCTGTCGTTTAGACAGGCCGCTTCAATATAAAAACAAAACTACGAAGAATACCTGTGACTGTCGTCTCAACAGGTCATACTATTAACAAAGGCTTCAACAAGATCGCTAACCTATCCCTTAAGCTGTAGAGTTTGTGTAACAATTTTAGCTTAAAAATAGCATAAATTTAGTTATAATCTATTTTTTTTAATATTTAAAATATTTAAATAA